GCCATCAACTATGGTGACAACTTCACCAATATGTAGGTGATGCAAGACTTTAGTATCATTTTCTTCTGCCAAAAAACATGTATATTCATAGAACTGATATAAATTTTCAAAAATTGCTAAATAATAATCCATATCTTAGTGCGATATTGCCAATTCTATATGAAAGTCAGTATCATTCGGCAAAATTTCATTGCCTTTCTTGATATGCACTTCTTCAAGGTTATCTTTGAGAAACGTTCATCCAGTGAATGTACTATTTAAAAATACTAATTAAAATAAAATTCAAAAATAATTAATTAATTAATATAAATCTTAAATCAAACCTTCACTTATATCATCATTAAAATCTAAAGACTTAAATCAACCATCTATCAGCCATTTTAGGAAGGTTATTTATTAAGGTATTATTCATAGAGAAAAGATGACTATTGATACCTCTATTGAATAAATGACGCACTGCAAATAACGTTGTATCGCGCTTTGGCAAATACAACTCCATCTTTTTACGGTTTGTCTGTGGCATGATATTCTTGAAAATTCTGTGCACCATATGCATCTCTTTCGTCCCTACACCGGTATATTCAATAAAGTTGTGTAGTTTTAGCATGTTGTATCAAATGTAGGTTAACATGTAAATTTGGCAGGTTTTCAAAATCTTTGAACGTCTTACTTTATAAGAACAATAATAATTGTAAAAATGAAAAAAAAATGAAATAATAAATTAGTAATAAATGAATTATATTAGACAAATATTAGTAATGACCAAAATCGTTAGATTTTTCAGCAAATACTTCACCAGACTTTTCTTTATTAGAATGTTTGCTGGAATTCTCGCTGGATGGTTCTTCGTTAATGATTTCTTCATTTTCAGTATTCTTGTTTCTTTCATTATCAAATTCATGTCAATAATAATAATAATAATAACGAGAATTTAAATTTTTTTTTTGCCCAGCCTAAGGTATGTTTTTTATTTTTTTATTTATTACATGTAATTTCCATTCCCTACTAACTTTATTTCTTCTTTTAGTTTTATGGGTTTTGTTTTTTACTTAGTCCCCCTGTTTATCTCATTTCGTCTCTTCTCCACTTTTTTGTTTTCTTTTTGTCTCTTCATCTCTTTTGCTCTTTTTATTCTTCCTTTCCTTCATTTTTTCCATTGTTTTTTATTTCCTTTTCGTTCCTTCATCTTTTTCATTCCTTTACACTACCCTTCATTCCTTTCATTTTTATTCCATTCCCACCTCATCTTTTTTGTTCTTTTACACTATCCTTTGTCATTTTCATTTTTTTTCCATTCCCACTTCTCTTTACACTACCCTTTGTTCCTTTCATTTTTTTATTCCCTTTGTTTCGTCCCCCTCCATTCTTTTCATTTTTTCATTCCCACTTGATCTTTTTCGTTCCTTTTGTTTCTTTCACTCTCCTTTGCTCCATTTCATTTCTCCCTCACTCCCCCTTCGTTTCTTTTATTCCCTTTTACCTCCTTATTTTTTCATTCACCCTCATTTTTTTGATTAATTTTTTATTAATTATAAACTTTATAATTATTTCTTATTTTATATTACGTCAATCTTAGACTTATAACCAACTTAAAAAAATATTTGAATAATCAAATGTATTAGAATCTATTCATTTCATTTATTATTATTCTTTTGGTACTTAATTTAACTAAACAGAATTAAAATCTTTATTCAAAAATCTGGTAGTTATTTAGAGAATTTTGGATATGGATTTGGTTATAATAATCTATTATTAAATTAACAATTTCTTCAAAAAAAAAATGATATTTTTACATATTTTATAATTGATTAATTGGAATTTGAAAAACCAAACTATTTATCCAGTGTTCAATTTAATTGAAAAAATCTTACTCATCTTTCTATCAACGTCGGTCAATTTTCCTATATCTGTGTTATATTGATTTTTTTTAAAAAAATAATAATTTTGTAAATATATTTAATATAATATTTTATTTTTTATTTAATAATAAAAATAAATTTTAAAAAAATTTGGGGGGAAGAAAAAGGATAAAGAAAGAAATCAGTTTAAAAAAAAGGGAAATTTCTGAAAAAAAAAGGAAACCGAAAAAAAAATAAGTACGAAAAAAATTCTGGAAAAAAAAGGACAATAATCCGATCCAAGAGAGTGAAAAAAAAAATTGGTCTTAAAAGACCAAAACAATGGGATTATTTAATAAAAAAAAAATATAATTTTTTCGGTTTGGGAAAAAAATTAAACCTAAACGGGAAAAGAATGAGAAAAAACAAATTTTCAGGCCTGAAAGAAAAGGGAGAAAAAATTTTTTTCGGTTTGAAAAATTTTAAAAAAAAGGAACCAAAAAAAGTTAAAATATTTGAAAAAAAAAAAATTAATAATCAAAGAAAAAAATTTCGATTAAGGTAAAAATTTATTAACTGAAATTGGATTAGTTGATTGGAATTGATCAGGCTGAGGCATGTCACGGGTTTTAATTATCAAATTATTTATACGGAGACTAATCCAAACGTCAGACAAATTTTTTTTTTATTGAGTTTGATACAAAAAAAATAATATTATTACAATTGCTGTGGCGCCGCAACATTTGATCTGATCATCGATTCAAACCTAAATAGTGAAAGAATGTATTTGGGAAAAAAAAATTCGGTTTGAAAGAAAAAACCAAACCGAAAAAGGAAAAGGGAAAAAAAAATTTAGATCGGCTGGAAAAAAACCAAAAAAAAAAAGTATTTAAAAAATTCCGATTAAAATTTCATTAACCGGAATTGGATTAGATATTTAGATATACAAAATGACTTGCCGATAAAGCGAGTCTTAACTATAAAGAACATGGATCAGCAATTCAAAATTAATTTATACAGGCTAATCTAAACGTTAGTCACACAAACACATTTTTTTTAATTATATAGAAGATAGATTATATAGATTATATACTGTAGATTATATAGATATAGATGCTATCCTTATGTGTGTATAATACTTCATTTATTTGGTAACTCTTTCATTCGATGTATGATGGGATTGCACATTAAAAGTATTATAGCAATTTCTTACATAATTTTGACGATGGTTAAGAGCGAGGGGTGTAGTAATTTCGAAACATTTTGTAATTTTAGTAATTTTTGTGAAAGTCGAGAAATTCTAATTTGCGTTTCATTGCTTTATTTCTTTCTGGAAACAATTTTCAGTACTGTGTTAGATGTAAGAAATAAAAATTTATTTATATTTCCTATATTACAATAAATATACCAAACAGATAAGCTTTGTGAAACAAACTTTATAATATTTTTTTTAAATTTAATACACGTTTATTTTTAATACTCTAATTATGTTCCTATACTTATGGTATCGAATTATCGAATGAATTATTTCGAATTAGTCATACACTTTAATTTTGAGTTAATGTCATAATTATATATAGCCAATATCGTAATCAAAATCATATTATCAAACAGTTTCGTATTAAATAATATATTAATAATTAGCCTAGTCTTTTATAGAATATTTATTTTAAAGCATATTGATAGATTAACTTTTTCGATCATAAACCACGTAATTATTTGTAATATGTCGAATGTTTTTTAAAATAAATAATTAAAAATGGCAGTAATGCGTGCGAAATTTTCAATTTAAAAAAAATACACATAAACATATGTTGGTAGGGGGATTTTATCTTAACTACGGAGATGTCTTGGCGAAATTGTGAAAATATATCTTATTTACTTAATTTATTTTCGCCCCTTTTTTACATTTGACATAGAATCACGATCTAATTTATCCTTTCTCGAACAAAGAAAAATGAAATCTTGACGATCAGAATCCCATTATGATAATGAAAATTCATAATCTCGAAATTTCAAAATCCAGACACTCATTATTATCCCGTCACTTAATATCCTCATGAATAAAAAATGATTATTAAATTCTAATCAGCAAAAAATTTAATATCTTTATAAGCAAAACATTACATTTTTATTTAATATAAGCAAGTTTTTTTTTTTGTTTTTAACTATTAACATTAATAAATTAAATTTGCGAAGTATGATTATTAAAATTAAATATTAATAAAAATAATTTTAAAATAAAGACGTTAATTTTTGCGAAATATTTTAAAAAATCATTATTATATTTGATATTAATAGAAATAATAATCGTTACAAAGTATTACAAAATTATTACGTCTAAAAAAAATAATGTAAAAATAAAAAAAAAAAGATAATGAGTGTCAGGATTTGAACTTTCGAAATTATGATTTGACAAGGGTTGTGAGCGTCGGGCTTGTGTTTATAACGGGATTCTGATCGTTGGGATTTTGAGCATCGATCTCCTCATTTCACTGAAAGCCAACAAAAATTTCACTGATAACACAGTATGTGAAAATTAATCACCTGGCCCACATTACGACCTACATCACGCCGCGTGTTGTCAGTAAAGTAAGCCGGGTCGATGGTCTTTGTTGCTATTTTATTACACTCTACAATAAATTTACAAAATTTATGATTGTATCGAATCGTATTTAAGATCACCATTTAATTTTTACTTTAAAAGAGAACAAAAAATTATATACTAGAAGAATGACGTAATTATTTACGCCAATAAAAATGACTTATTTTCAGAATATTATTTGTATGCACAATTACCATATGGTTTAAGTTCATCGATATGCGAAGCGACAAGTCATGTATTAAAATATGCAAAGTAATTTAATCCGTCCGTTTATTAATTTTATAATAATTAGTTTTATAATAAATATATATTTTTTTAGTATGGTTCCGTTAATTTGTTAAATAAAAACCTTCAATGTTAGTAAGGTTAGCAATTATTAATAATTTTATTTTAAAATTCAATTTTGACTTCAACGATCCTTAATGATAAAAATATTTCTAAAACTAATTTTAGGTTAATTTTATTTAAATATCGAATTAAATTAATAAATAATAATTGATAAAGAAAATACATATTCATTTTTAAAGAATTTAATAAATGATATTCTTATAATCATTTCGCTCTAAATAAATTTTTTCTGGTATATATATATATATTTTTTTTCTATAATTTTTTTTGTATTTGTAACAAAAAATTCATTAAAAAAGAAATATATATTTTCAACTTTTAGAATCCAACAAAAAAGTTTTATTTTCTATATCCCAACCAGCTGCATAAGCTGTTACCTTGTTATCTGATCCTGTAGTGAAGCAGTATTTAATTTTTTCATCACTATAGTTTCGGATCACACTGGTGTAATTGTGCTGATCGTAGACCGTAGAAATTTCTACACCATTCTTATACGCAACAATTATATTTACTTGTATCGGTTTTCCATCATTTGCATATATCGTTACTGCAATCTCCATATCAGTTGATTCAATGTCGTAACCCCTTTCCGGTGAACAGGTTTCTTTAGCGGGTTCACCAAAATTATCCCATTTTCTGACCCGATGTTCATTATCAATACACGTTGCATGTGGAACGTCTAGATCAGATTCGATGGCGTAATAATGTTCAATGCAAGTTTCATCTGGTCCACAATCATTATATACTACTTGGACATCATCTGGGTTTTGAGAATTTTCACAAAATACCATCAATCTATTAATTTCGTCGCAAAGGGAGGCTTTATATACGTAGCCGGTGGGACATCCGGGTACTGTCAATTGTATCTCGGCTCGCTTAGTCATAAGCGCATTCTCTAGAGGCACTCCCATAATTATGGTTGCTATTGCAACCAAAAAGAAAGTGTATAATAAGAAAGTGTGTAATTTACACGATTGAGCAAACGATATTCTCATTATTGATGCAAAAGACGGGGAAAATAAATGTGAAAATAAAAGTGCTTTAAGTTGTTTTTTTGTAAAAAGATGAGATAACTTTGTCGTTGTCAGAATAGTATCAGGATAGATCATATTTTATACATTTTATTAAGCTATGATGTACAAAATCATTTCCTTTATTTCCTTCATTCTTTCATTAATAAATTTTGATCTGCGAGAAAAAATTACTATTAGAATTTGCCGATCTATAATAACTACAAAAGGCTGATTTTAATTAATTATTCGGAAATTGATTTTGCAGATCAAATTCCGATAAAAAAAATATGGAAGCCCAAACTATCTTTTTTTTTCCACAGAATTGCGTTAATTGACTAGATAACAATATGGTAGCATCATGTTTATTTTCATTTTATTCAATTGATTGTTATAGGGTTCAGTCTATTTCACCGATAATTATTTCACTTACCGATAGTGAGTTCATTTCGCTGATAAGAATGGTTAATCAGTATATTAAAAATAAAAAGAAAAATTATACCTTTGTATGAAAAAAATTATAAAGCAAAAAAACTTATATATATTTTTTTAATTAAATAACATTAATAATAATTCATTAAATATTGTAAAGTATTATTAAGTATATATTAAACATTAATTTTTTGCGAAATATTTTAAAAATCTTTACATTTTAAGAAAAATATTTAATTGTCCGAAGAGTTAGCGAAAGGACTATTTACCGTACTAAACTAACAAAATTTGTTTTAGTCCTGTCACAATAGACAATTTTATTTCCTTTTTTGAATATGTATTATGATTTATGTAACATGACCCCTGAAATATGCCAAATAAATATACTGTAGATCAACTTAAACGATTTTTGCGACGTATTAATAAGAAAAATATTGATTTTACAATGAGAACATTATTATTTGTGAATAGGAATTGTAATTTACAAGCGCTGATCATTTCTCTAAAATCAGAAACGTCAGGTTGACCGTCTATGATAAAATCTTAAAAAATTCGATAATCGATGCTTGTGAGACACTTTAAAATTGATTACATATTAGTAAAAACAATAAGGTTACAAATTATCTATGGGAATTTTTTTTATTTAATCGGAAATTGATTTTTGCAGATCAAATAAGTTACTATTCCGATGAATGAATTTTTCCGTAGAATTTTAATTATTTATCTATTTTTAATAATTCATTGAAAAAATGGTAAAATTTTATAAATTTAGTACTACGAATGAATTGGGATTTACAAGGGCACACTTAAATAAGTTAAATATACTATTTCACTGAAAATCATTTCACCAACCCTATAAAAAAATTGGATACGTTTTTTATAAAGTTTTTATACGATTTTTTTCCTTAGAAATAACGTATCATAATAGGATACGGAAAAATGCACAATTCCGTATCACTAAAAATATGGTTTGGATACGGAATTTGCACGGAATTCATATGGAATTTACATGATTTGATCACTATTTTTTATTTTTTATTTAATTTAATAAAGTAAAATTAGATTTATGTAAATATAATTATAGTAAACTGTAATACAAATAGTAAATTCAGTGACCAAATCGTATAAATTTCGTGATAAAATCAAACAAAATACAAATACATTATGAAAATTCCTCCTTATTAAAACCACCTATTGCAACCAAAATTATCTATAAGTTCAGGTTCATTTGGAGTCAAACAACCTAAAAAAAAAACAAAAAAAGAAACATAAGAACGTCTAACTTAATTGGAAACAAAACCCCCTTCATATAGTATCTGCAATCGTCCAAGTCACCAAAGGTCAGTATTCCTACAAAAAAAGAAAGAGAACTCCAGAATGTCTGACCTACATAAATGAAAAGAATTATGAAGCATCTGATGAAAAAGAAACCCTACATAAATGAAAAGAATTATGAAGCATCTGATGAAAAAGAAACTAAAACAACAAAATAAATCCAAAACTGACCTACAAAAAAAGAAGACTCTGAAGCAACAAAACCGAAATAACCTACGAAAAGAAAAGAATCTGAACCCAACTTACAAAAAAAAAAGAAAATTTGAACGGTTACACCACGATTTCCCGACAACCTTTTTCCCGATATACCCTTTGCCCGACAACGATTACCCGACAAGACATATTCCCGAATGAACATTTTACCGACATGACACATTCCCTAATGGACATTATACCGACATGCTATTTTTCCCGACATGACATTATCCCGACAACATCATATCCCGACAGACATTTTCCTGATTAAAAAAAAGTGATTTCCCAATTATTTAAGATAAAACATATGGAGAAAATTTTTATTATTTGTTTATTCATATTTATTTTAATAAAAATTCGCAATTTCATGTATACTGTATATTTCATTTTCATAGTGCGCAAATTTTTATAACAAAATCACTAGCAGCAACCCGTTGCGTACCTACAAAAATTTATTTTAGTTGCAAAAAATGGATAAGTGAAAAATTCCAAAAATCTGAAAATCTGTAAATTTTGAAGTAGAGATAAAAAAAGTATAAATAAATCCAATCAAATTTCTTCCCATAATCACATAATAAATTATTTATAAAACAATTCCTAAAATTAAAAGATCGTTATTATTATGCAGTTTCTATTTCGTAAGACAAAAATACTGATTTCCCTTTATGGAAATCTTTTATTATCGGATTTTATATGAATTCAATTAATCATTGTGGAAAAAATTAACTTTATAGCAATGAAATTATCTATTTTTAAATAAAGCTATTACTAATTATTTCATTTAAAACAGTTTTTTCAATGATTTAACATTTTTTTATATCGTATAATTCCAAATTTTATATTAGATAAATAAATTGTTTCCTTACAAATTTAATCTTTTTTGAAATTTTTGGTTGTGGTAGATGTAAGAGAATTATATTTATATTTATAAACATGATACATTATTACAGCAGTAATAAATTACTTTTCGTAATCATTTTCAACATGTCGGGAAAATGTCTGTCAGGATATATGTTGTCGGGATAATGTCATGTCGGGAAAACTAGAATGTCGGTATAATGTCCATTAGGGAATGTGTCATGTCGGTAAAATGTTCATTCGGGAATATGTCTTGTCGGGTAATCGTTGTCGGGTAAAGGGTATGTCGGAAAAAAGGTTGTCGGAAGTTGTCCGACATTGAAAGGAAAGGACTCCCAAACTGATCTACAAAAAAGAAAAAAGAAACTGAGTCTTCTCACAAAAAAAAATCTGCTGGCCTATGAAATAAAAAAAGAGATAAATATAAATAAAAAAGAAAGGGGAATAAAGAATAAATCAAAAAAAATATTTTTTTAAAAAGAGAGTAACGAAGTTAGGAAAGTTAAAAAAAATTTTTTTTTTAAAGGGAGAACGTCAAAGTTAGAAAAATAAAAATTTTTTATAAAGAGGAAATAGAAATAGAAAGAAGAAAAT